CACATCATAATTATTATTAATATGTTTATGTGCTGTATCCCTCCAGTAGTATGTGAACTTAGCAAGGGCACCTTTATCATTTTTGTATGCTCAGCACCTAGCTAAGGACTTAGCAAATGTTTGTTAAATTGAAATTGAATTAAAGCTACTAGTAGATTTTACTTTCAAGTATCATACTCATCTCTGTCTCTTAATTAGTGGGATTCAAAAGAGCTTTTAAATACAGGAGCACATTAGAATCATACATATTTTATTGCCTAATCCAGCCAATCCCAGTAGTTAAAAATAGCAAGCTTTTGTAGTGAGACATTCCATTCTTCTCCCCTCTTCTACTTGTGATTATAATATAACTGAGCTTTGTGTACTAGTTTTTGTTCTATCATCAACCATAAGTAATTCTTCAAATTCCCTTTGCTCTTTTCTACCACCAGTCCTTCTAGGAAAACAAAACAAAACAAACAAACAAAAAAACAAAAAAAACCCCACCTAAATTTCCACACTACTAATCCAAACAAAAGCCAATACACTAAAATGCCCAGGAACTGGGAGTTGGAAAGGGATGATGCTAAAATCCTTTCTGAGTTTTCATGATACTACTCTCTCCTGGTTCTCTTCCTACTTGACTGAATATTCTTTTTCATTGTCTTTTGCTGGTTTATCATCTATATTATGCCCCCTAACTTTGGATGTACCTCAAGGTTCTGTCCTTGGTCATCTCCCTCCTGTTTTACTTTTTTTTGGGGGGGGGCTAGGCAGTGGGGTTAAGTGACTTGCCCAGGGTCACACAGCTAGTAAGTGGCAAGTGTCTGAGGTCAAATTTGAACTCAGGTCCTCCTGACTCCAGGGCTTGTGCTCTATCCACTGCGCCACCTAGCTGCCCCTATCATCTTCTCCCTCTTGGTAACCTCATCAGTTGTTGCAGGTTTAACTACCATCTCTATGCGGATGATTCTCTCTCTCTCTCTCTCTCTCTCTCCCCCCCCCCCCCCCCCCATGCTTGTATCTACCCTGAACTTTAGTCCTGCATCACCAATGGCCCATTAAACCTTTTAGAATAACTATCTTAAGCTAAACATGTCCAAGACTGAACTTCTAAACCTACTCCTCTTCTAAGCTTCCCTATTTCTGTTGAAGTCGCCCAGGTTTATAAGCTTGCTATTATTTGCAACTAATTCCCCCTCACCCCACATACTGAATCAGTTGCCAAATCTTGTATTTCTACCTTCACTATACCTCTTGCTTCAGACCTCTTGTCTCCATTCAGAGACAGATACCACCTTAGTCTTGCCCTTATCACCTCTCACCTAGATTATTGTAACAGCCTCTTAATTGGGTCTTCCTGACTCATGTCTTTCCCTACTGTGGTCCATTTTAGACACAGCTTCCAAATTAATTTTTCTTAATCACAGATCTGACCATATCAATCTCCTGCTCAATCAACTAGTGGTTTTCTAGTGCTTCTAGAATAAAATATAAACTTCTCTGTTTACTTTAAAAAACTTTGTATAACCTGGCCAAACCTATCTTTCCAACTTTATGAGAATCC